TTTGTGTGGAACACAAAAAAATCAAATTTCAGTCTTATTTTACATTTTTTTCATTCTTAGGAATGTCTAAATTCAGTTAAACTAGCAATTCCGGATTATATTTATAAATCTTTATAACATTATACAAATATTAAATTTTTTTTTTAAATTGAAATTTTGCCGGGAATGGGGCTTTAAAGTAGAAAACCAAATTTTACTGAGTTCTAATGAGAATTCGATTAGGATTAATGTTTACTGATCTTGGTGTCCGTTTCAACATATGTCAATCAACAGCATGCAATATATTTGGTTCATGGATTCCAGTAATAGCATCGTATATGAAACATAATATAATATTCTGGCTGCCACGGGATACACTTTTTAGGATTTGACCCAAGTGTTTTGAAATTGGATTGAAAATCCATGGACAAAATTAAAAGCATTTATTGTGGCACCTGTTGGTTTTCTTGTAGCAATTTGATTTAGGATTGTTCCTTGTATGCCTGACAGATTCTTAAGATGTGATGAGGAAAGATGTTGAATAACGTCAGCATCTGTTTCAAAACTTAACATGCTGTTCTCGGTGGATCTTTTTTTAATGCTGCGTATATTTTCTATGCTATCAGGCAACGCATTTTGTTGTGTGCTTTTATTCCACTTGCATGGCTGATTGGTGCATGCCATGCCAATAAAGTCTTTCTTGTTGGCCTCGATTTTAAATGCAAGTCCTGCAGAATGGCTGCATTTACCTTCAGAGGCAATACAATCGCATTTCACTCCTGTAATTGTTGTGCCTTTAACAGTTATTTCAACAGAGTGATAACTGTTAATCGCCTGAGAGTAGCGTACACAACCTTTCATAATAATTTTACTTCCAACAAGCTTATGCTGGATCATGCCAATCCATCCTGAACTCAGATAATTTTGGCCTTCCACTATGCTTCGGTAGTTTGCATTGGGTTGTTCATCGCAAGCTGGTGTATTAATGAAATAGTTGAAAATATCTGGCAAAAAGATTGGAAAAATGAATTGTTAATGTTTATCATTAACTTAGTCATAATGTAAATACACGAATCCCTCTAATAATTAAAGACCTATCCAAGTCCAATCAAATAACACCACCCTTATTCCTTAATTTTAAAGACCACTTTTCTATATACAGTAGTCTCATTAACGAATTAATGTTTTTAAGCTTTATTAATATTACAATAATAAAAAGGCAAAAGCTGCTATATACAGTAGCAATAGTTGTATTGTGATTTTTATAAAAGCTAAGTAAAGAACAAATGAATGAATGAACAGCATAAAAACCCCATTCCCAATAATATTAGGCTAGGCCTAGTTAGTGACTAGTGAAGTGGAGTGGTGGTTGGCGCATTGAGACAATCGGAGAGCAACAGGTAATCTGTATAAGATGAAATAAACAAAATAGTCCGACTCCTAGGCCTAGCAATAATAATAATAATATACAGTACTACTACTAGCCTAATTGATAATAAAAAATAAATACAAACCAGGAGGAGGATGCATTTTGTGCTAACTAAATCATAGGGAGGCCTTTTTTTCAAATTCTTACCTTGAAAATTCAGTCTTGGCCATTCACGAACATCATCTTTCCACATATTTAAATTCATCATAGGCTCCTATTCCTATCTAGGCCTTCCCTATAAAAACAATACTGTCTGTAGCCCTAGACCCTATGTGGGCAATAATTGTATACCGTTATACAGTGTTAGGGGAATCCGGTGGTGGTAGGCCCTAGTGGTAGCCTAGGCCTCTATATTTAGGCTTAGGCTAGGTAGGATCTGCTGTTTAAAGTAGTGACTATAAGATGACAAACTAGGAGATACATAGGCCTTAACGTTGTCATGTTTAAATCCATAGCCTACTGACTCTTTAAGCAATCTTGGCGCAATCATTTAAACTAGGCCTGACTAAATTGGTTATCTGCTGCTGCGCAGTTGGTTACCCCACCGCGTTACAAAGGGCTGATCACCTAGGTAGCTAGCCGGCTGGCCTAAGTAGTACTAACTAATAGTACAGAGAGAGCGAAATCTAGACTAAGCTCAAGTCCTACCTTTATTCTATTTTCAATATATACAAAATATACTTATCTTTAAATTGTAATAAAATATGACGGCCAGCAATATTCAGCTGCATATGCTGTATTTTAGCCGTATTTCCCTAAAACGTATGTTCACAAAAATAAACACAAGATGCACGTTCCAACTATTACGCTGAGCTTGTTGGGGACTCCCCAGTAATGGCGTCGACAACAGAGGACACCATTCTTCTTGGATAGGTCTATACAGACCATGAACAAGGTTGTGGCTGTGTTTATTGTGTCAGTCTTAATGCTTATTTGTGAGCGTGTTTGCATGGATATGTGCTATGCAGACGTGACATATTTTATATTTCCGGTAATAAATTTATCTATGTTATCCTACCTATGAAATAGCGTGAAATATTTTTTTTATTTAGTCTATCTTTAAAATTTTATTTTGTGAAATATTGCACACAGGTAAGCGAAAGTGCCGCAGTTTTAAACTGACGGGCGCAGCCATGTTTGTTGTCTTGTCTTTTTCGCGCTGTGGATGTCTACTTCCAAAGTGATGGAAATACCAACGCGCTGATTGGCCGACTTGGCTTTATCTTTAACTAAATGCATAAAGCATGAGACGAAGCATCGGATCGGAGTTTAGTTTTGCTAATATAAACCTAATCCTAAGTAAATCTTAATGCTTTGCATCGACTACCGTGTATAAATACACTCTTTTTATACTACTACTAAATTAGGCCTTTTCTAGATAGAAGCTAGCCTAGGCCTAGGTCCTAGACGGGACGATGATGGAATTGAACTGCTAGGGAGAAGGCCAGCCGGCTAGCATTCGGACGGATGCTAAACAAACCTAGGCCTATATAAATTGCCTTCAGGAGATGGAGTTTTTGAGTGTTTTGTAAAAAAAAAAAAAAAAAATTCAGGTCGGGGCATTTCCGATGGTCGGGCGGGGATGCTAACCAATTATTTTATTTTACGTGGCCTTTTTATGTGGCGGGACCTCACATTTGCTAATTTCTTATGCAAAAACTGGCGGCCATTAATACACGATTTCAAAATTTACAACTTACATTCCTGGAAAACCACCAGGTCACTAAAATTCGGATGCTAGGACCAATGAACTTTTGGACCAAAGACCCTTCGGAACAATGGGCCTTCGGATCAAAGACCCTTCGGACCAAAGGTACGCACCCACCACACTGACTAAGGAAGTTATACCTCCTTACACTGACTGAGTAGGCCTAGGCCTAGCCTAAAAATAGTAATAGGCCTACTTAGGGGTAGCCTAGCCTAGCCCTACCCTACCGGTACATAAAAACATAGGCCTAGACCTATCTTATAAATTGGTGTGATTAATAATAATATGTAACGGTATCTTTCTAAAGTAGGCCTAGGCCTAGGCTACTACTAGGCCTACTGTACAGAGAAGTTAAATTTTCAACTTACTTATTTCACATCGTTAGAGAAAACGACCACCGCATCATCGTTATCATGATACACAGACAGTCTCATATTACCTTCTTACATACTCTTTCCGATCCTGCAACCATGCTGCAACTGGGATGTTGGTGGGGACCGTACGTGTGTACATACCCTTTTCGATCCTGCAACCATGCTGCAACTGGGATGTTGGCGGGGGGTGGGGGAACCGTGGGGGCGAAAGTTTTTCCTGGACCGGACGTCTCAGCCAAGTTCGTTGGTGGCGCTAGACTTTGATGAGATATAATAAGAATACTAGAGCGCAAACAGCAATGTATTCGATGTTCAAAATACGCAGAGCTGTGTGTGTGTACCATCCAAGATGGCTGCCATACATTCAGCCAATCAAATTTCCTCTGAGCGCTATCATTTTCAATTGCGCCCTCAATTTACACAGAAAGTTTAGTCAAAGATATTTGAGTTCAGTACAGCTAGTTACCCGTATTTTGAAACTCGAGCGTTGCGGTGTATGGGTGTAATGTACACGATTTTAATTCTTTTCAAAATTTGAATAAGATGCTCTACTTGGCCTCTTTTTGGCTACGACAGTTTAATAATTTGTCATTATCAATACTAATTATCATTAATGAAATAATATTCAGTCAGAGGGCTTATTTATGGTTATAATATGTATACTAAGCCTGAAGGTGGCGCTTTCCTACGGCAGCCATCTTGGATGGTACACATCACATACCATAGAGGTATAATAAGAATACTAGAGCGCTAACCGCAATGTATTCGAAAGTATAATACATACTCCAAGTATTGAAATACACGCCATCGTGTTGGGATTCAATATTTCGACATTA